GCCAGGCTGCTCAACAACGAGGGCTCCCTGCTGGCCTACTCCGGCTACGGGGACACCGACGCCAGAGTCACGGCCGCCATAGCCAGCAACATCTGGGTGGCCTACGACAAGAACGGGCACCAGGCGTTCAACGAGGACAACCTGAAGTTCATCCTGATGGACTGCATGGTACGTGCCCTGCGGCCTTCGCGCCCTCTGGAAGCCTGCGGGGGCCGGCGCTGCCCGGCCCCGCTCCGAGGCCGACGCTCGGCGGGGAGGGCCCGGCAGTCTGTGCCCGCGGGCCCCCGAAGCTGCGGCGGGACCGCCCTCGGGCAGCCTCCCCGTCAGAGGAAGACCGAGACGCGGCGAGGCTCCCACGAGAATGGCGTGGACCCAGAGCGGCCTCTCCCTTCACGGCCGGCCGGCCTCGTGCTCCGGCCCGGTAGGCCCTTAGCACGGCCACCGGCCCAGCATCTGCAGGTGCCGGGCAGCCTGCTCACGTTGCCCACGACGCCCGTAGCGTCCACCGGTCAAATTACAATGATCGCTGATTAAAGTTTTACAGGGTCGGATAGGATTTGGGGACAGGTTTCTAAAATCTGGAGAGATTTGCGGTGATTTTTACTCTAACGTTTGAGTGCCTGAGGCCAAAAATGATTATAGCGCCTTGACTGTGACTGGGATGAGCAATTTTAGGTGTTGGGCTTCCGTTTTCTGCCAGCGACTTCACAGAATGATGGAGCTGAAATTTTCAGGAGTGCTTTTCAACTTCGGGGGGGCTTCTGGGGGTAAAATTGGTGCCTGAGCCTTGCAGGCCCAGGCAGTAGCTCTGGGGCTACAGTGCAGGGGTGCTGCAGGGGGCCACTGAGCCCTTTCTAGGCTAAGCTGACCGGCCTCCCGTTGGGCATTGCTTCTCCTAGCTTATCTTATCTTTCTTGTTCAAAATCCCAGGAGGGCCGCGTGGCAATCACCAGAGTTGCTAACCTGCTGCTGTGCATGTATGCGAAGGAGACGGTGGGCTTTGGCATGTTGAAAGCGAAGGTAAGGCCCCACGGCTAGGATTGCAGGGTGCCAGCTGGCTTCTCTTTGATGTGAAGGGAACGTGAGTGGCAGGGGGTTGCTGGAACTGGGCCCGGAGGGGTGGCAAGATCTGCCAAGAGTCTTCTGTCAGAGATGAAGGGGTTGCAGAGCTGTTGTGGGTCAGCTAAAGAGGGAGAGGTAGAACAGGAAAGAGAGGTGTTGTCTAGACAATTAAAAATAGTACAATAGTAATGGGCACACATGAAAGTAATTCAGAGAAGCCCCGCTGCTTTTGAAGTGTGACCCTCAACATGCCGCAGGAAGCCTGTTCTACCCTCAAGCTGTAGAGCTGTGTCCTTTTCTTCTCAATCTGGACAGACTTTAGGGAGATCTCCTTTTGAATTCTGTGGGACCTGTTCCTGCAGAAACTCATGTAGAATTGGCCTGCGAAGAGTCTTTGAAATAATATTCTCAGTAATACTTTGTGACATGCTTATACATGGTTAGCTTAAGTATTGGATTATGGAATTAATCCTATTTCCTGGATTCTCATGATGTGCTTGAGCAAAATCACAATGCACTGTCAGAGCTCCCTCAGCATATTAGGCTAAAATGTGGTTGGCCATTCCATGATTTAAGGTTGGGTAAATTCCTCCAGGAAACTTTAGAATAGGCTGGCTGGCTGGCTGGCTGGCTGGCTGGCTGGCTGGCTGGCTGGCTGGCTGGCTG